GAAAAAATCCTCATGATCACTAGCCATCAAGGAAATGCAAATAAAAACCACAATGAGTTATCATCTCAATCCAATTAGAATGGCTGTCATCCAAAACTCAAAAAATAATAAGTTCTAGTGAGGGTGTAAAAAAAAAAAAACCACTACCATAATATACTGTTGGTGGGAATGTAAACTAGTACAACCATTATGGAAGACAATATGGAGATTCCTCAGAAATCTGAAAATAGATATAAAATATGACTTAGCCATCCCACTCCTGGGATACCCAAAGGAAATGAAATCAGCATATGAAAGAATTATTTGTATCCCCCATCTTTACAGCAGCTCAATAGCTAATAGGTCAGATATGGAATCAATCTAGATGTCCATAAACTGATGACTGGGTAAAGAAAATGTACGATTCCGTATATACAATGGAATACTACTCAGCCATAAAAAACAATGAAATCACGTCTTTTGAAACAAAATGGACATGACTGGAAATGATTATGCTTGGTGAAATTAGCCAGTCCTCAAAAGACAAGTATTATTTGTTTTATCTGATCTGTGGTACTTAATATAGAATACAAAGCCAAAACAATGTATGGGAGTGAAACTGACACCTTGTGATTTGCTTGTTGTTTATTGTCCTTGACTGTATTCCTGTGGAACAGTAGTCTTTCTACTTTTTGATTAGTGCATTGAGCCTAACATTGTGGAGTGGACTGAGGGTGTGTTATTGTAAAAACAGAGGAATAAAATGGAAAGAAAGGAGGAAGGATTGAGGGAGGGAAGGAAGGAAAAAGGATGGTTGTCTTCTTGGAATTGTATTTGAGATACATGACATCTGTTCTCTTTATATTAATTTTAAAAAACAGCAAAAACATCTATACTTATACTTTATGAAAAAAAACTTTGAAGTACATAAATAAAAAACAGCTCATACAGTAGGTTAGAAGGAGGAATATTCTGAAAGCCTTTCCATATAATTGTGATTATTCTTTGGTACTATACCAAAACTTGATAATTTGTAGTTTTAAAAACATTTTTTGTTTATTTATTTGAAAGGCAGAGAGAGAGAAAGAGAGAAAAAGAGAAAGAGCACACTTGCCTACTCTCATCTGCTGGTTGTCTCAAATACCCTGAAGAGCTGGAGCTGGGCAAGGCCAAAGCTGGGTGCTGAAGCCAGCAGCCAGGAAGTCAATCCAGTTCTTCCACATGGGTGTCAGGGGCCCAAACACTTAAGCTATTACCTGCTGCCTACCAGCATGCAAATTAACAGGAAGCTGGAACTGGGAATGGAGTCAGAACCTCAACCCAGTCACTCCAATATGGGATGTGAGCAATCCAAGTAGAGTCTGAACTTCTAGGTAAAAAATGCCCTTCTAAAGTTGTAGTTTCATAATAGTATGTTGCAATGTGGAATCTGGAATCAGCACTGTACTGTGTTACATTAAAATCCATTGAGATTTCACACTTGAAAAAGCAGGTATGATTTTTTTAAAATATAATGTAGGGTCATTTAGAAAAAACTGGTTCAGTGAGTTATATGGATATTCTAAGTATTCACACACTTCTTTATATAATCAAAAAGTCATGTTCAGTAATACAACCAGTAATCTCATCAGGAAAGTATTTTAAATATTGAAAACTTTCTAGATCATGGTGATGGATACAGTTTCTTCACAATGTTTTGCTTTGAAGCTAAACTTTCATTATTGATCATAACAAAAGCTCTCTGTTAAGTAAGGATAACTGCACTATTTAACTGATTGCCTGTAGTAGAGAGATGAGCTGCTTCTCTAAATTTTGTGCTCCCTTTTCCACAGTATAGAGCTGTCACTATGTAGCAACTTTCCAGTCAGAAATCTTACTTGCCACAATACCTTACACCTCAGTATAGCCATGACTTATTCTTGGTAATACTCTGTGATTGGAACAAAGTCTTTTTTAAGAGTGTATGCTTATTCCTCCTTTTAGTCTCTTGATATAGATATATTCTAATTACTGTGGAGCTCTGCATAGGATGGTAAATCCACACATGGATGCAGCCTGAAGCCCTGAATCATTGTGTGGAAGAGAAGTACTCACTGACTACTAACTAATATGAAAACTCAGAAGACAGCATAAAAAGTAGGCTAGGGATCTGGAGAAATATGAAAGTCTAACAGTTCAAATAAGGAAATGTATATTTGAATAAATGTCTGCTTCACCCAGATTTTCTGGTAGTTACAAACTAAGTAGAAACTTAAAAAATACTTTTAAAGTACTGCTTGCCCTTTTGAAATGGTAAAGCTGTCCTTTTAGATCCCCTCTAAAAACAGTGGTAATTAGTTGATATATGGTTTCCAACAAAGGCTCTGTTTCTTCAAGAGATTTAAGAATTCGAGCCCTTTGCTATCATTGTTTTTGTACTACTTTGGCCCCACAGGGTTCATTTTTCATTCCCCAAACAATTGCTTGCTGTTTCGAAAGGAGTCCATATACTAACTTTGGAAACAAGTGATGTCCTCAAGCCTTCCAACACTTCTACTATTTTTTTGGCCCTTCTTCCAACATTTTTTAAAAATTCATTCATGTTTTTCATAAGTGAAGGATTACAGCTATGGTAACTCCCATAAATTACAACACTTAACCCATAATGATAATTTTAAACCTCACTGTATTAACAAGCCTGTAAAATCAAATGACTGAGAAACACTATGTGAAGTTAACAGTTCATTCAGACTTCAAGATCAAAATATCCTGTATTTGAATTCTTATTCCAGCACTTAAGAGTTATATGACCTTGGATAAGTTACTTAATCTTATATTTTAGTTTCCTAGTTTATAAAAAAGGAAGTTTTTCAGGCTGAACAGAAATGATAGATGGAAACTCAGATATACAGCGAGGAATAAAAAAAAATCAGAAAGCATAAATATGTGAATAAATACAGAAGTTTAAGTTTTCTCTTCATCTTTTAAAAATTCGTATAATCATTTCCACTTTTATCTATGATGTAATAATGGGGGTTTCTTTTACTGTCCTGTATGAAACAAACAAACACTGGACAAAATATATGACACAATGATTTTCATAATTTGGATAACAGACTACACAGATAGTGATCTCCAAGAGAAGAGAAACAAATGAAAGAGCCCTTCACTTGTCCCAGGTTTTGTGTGTAAAGAATTTTCAATGTATGCTGCAAAAGGTGTAAATCTAAATAGAACACAGTGGGCTCACTGAATTGAGAAACTAAAGTTGAGCATTCAGGAAGTCTGAAGCAATCTAAAATTCACACGTGAGTGTACTCTAGAAGACAGAGATGTACAATGAGAGCATTCTGCAAATCTTCAGAGGATGATCTTTGACTCTTTATCCGAAGTTAATACAAACCACGCGAACACATTATGTTCTAGGTGTCAAATGACACTTTTATGAAATGGAAAGGCAAGCCACAGATTGAGGGAGGGGAAATTTTTAAAAATCTAATAAAGGACCTGTATCTAGGAAATATGACGTATTCTTATAACTCAATAAGAAGAAGACAAACACCCAAATAAAAATAGTTGGGAGATTTGAAAAGAAAAAGCATTTGTTTTGTTTTTTATAAAGCTTAAAAATTACAGATATATGTAGAAACATGTTACAGGCCAGATTTGATCTACAGGCTACAGTTGGCTGATCTCTGATACGGGAGATTGTGATAACACTATTAACTTTTTGAACTAATTGAGATTCATAAAGTGTATACTCTTTCCCAGTGTACATGGAATGTACACAAGACAGACCATGTATTACACTAAACAACAAGTCTGAAAACATTGCAAAAGATTGTGCAGAGCATTTTCTCAGATTACTATAGTTTTTAAATTAGAAATGAGTAATTATAAGCTATCTAGAAAAGCACAGGTACTTAGAAATTAACAATAACTTTCTGAATAACAGAGGTCAAAGTAAAAATAAATTACAATGGGAAATTAGAAAACATCTTAGGTTAAATAATAAAACAACATATCTAAATTTGTAGAGTATGATTAAAATGATACACAGAGAAATTTATGGTTTTAAAAGTTCTTATCTGAAAAAGCATAGAGAGAATGATAAACTGGCAAAATGTAAATAACTGCTGGGAAAAGGATTGATGAGAATTCTTTAGGCTATTTTTATCACTTTTCTGCAAGTTAACATTATAACATTATACAAAGCAAAACAGATCATTCTTCCAAACTGCTTGATTTTGTCTTCAGTCAAATTATTCACATATGAAGGTGTTAAGTAAAAATAGATCTGTAAAACTAGGTCAAGATATCATACTACTTCTCTTGCCATTTCAAATTCTTAGAAAAGATCTCCAAACAACAAATACATATACATGAAGATCTAGAAAAACTACTAAGGGTGACATTAGCAAACAATCATTTTCTAACAGTTACTGACAGATAGAAATCATTTAGGATGGTATCTATGGTGATAAAAGTGGGGAAACCCACAGCTCAAAAAGTAATTACTTAAATTCACAGTGCACACATAGTAGGAACAGTGCTTAACTGATAAAATCATTTTCAAATCAGACCACCTTTCAGATTATTAGATTGAGTACATTAATCCCTCCTCTTCCCTAGAAAGATATTTCCGTCTACACTAATGTTTTTTAACTTTGCCTGCATGCTGAAATCATTAAAGGAGCTTCAAATAAATGATGAGCCTAGATTTTAATTTAATTTGCCAGAAGGAGGTCTGACTATCAGACCTACATTTGGCACTGGAGATACAGTATGACCAAAAAAAAAAAAAACTTGCCTCATAAAGCTAATTAATGTACAGTAACTGAGGATCTTGGTGCTGGTGCAGAAATATAATATATATTCAGAAATGAGGAAAGGAATTAAGCATGTATCACTACAACACTAATCTATAAGTCAAATGTTATTTCAAGGCCTTCAAAAACAAATTACTAGAAAATTCAGAATATTAATAACCTGATATGTTTGATTTTGAGTATTACAATAATAAGTTTAAAACATTTACTTACCAGGTGACATAGATTCTTGACTGCTTATGATCCTTTGCTTTATTGATTTTGTAGGTGCTTTCTTGCTACCATGTATGGTTGTTGTGGAAAGTTCTCTCAGTTTCCAATGGGTCCAAAAGCCTCTTTGAGGTTTTAAACCTTAATATAAAAAGAACATTTAGCCAAAGGAATTACAATTTTGAAAATACCTTTTAATTGGTCAAAGCATTTTATACTATTATACATTTCAACCTAAGGACAAAAATTTCTACTTGTTCTTTTCACGTTGTGTAGGGTTCAAGATGTCCTTTAACCATTCTAAACATGTGCATTTTCAACAATTAAAAAGAGAAAAGTAAAATCCTTTCTAGTCTTCATATATTTGTCCTGAGATTTAATTAAAGTATATTTTAAAGTGTTCAGTAAAAGAAAAGCCACACACAAATATTAATTAATGTTATTATCACTGTTACTATATATTGACATACTCAAGAATATTGTCAATATTTTCTCAGTTGAGAGTAGTGAGGATTATTTGATACATTAGTTTATCAAATTAGAATTTCCTAAGTGTTTTTAGGTAAATTATCACCTATTTAGCATGAATTCACTAGATAAACTATATAGAAGCCTTCAATTTGATTCTCTAGAATTCTTATTGGAAGATGGCTTATGTCTTGAAATATTTTATAGCAATAGAAAATTTGAAATATAGTAAAGTTAACAGATCCGCTGACTGACACTGAAAAGATGGTTTATTCTGGGAAGGACCATGGAACATAGTATATAAAAGCAAAAATAGATGCATAAGATTATATCAAGCTAAGAAGCTTCTGCACAGCAAAAGAAATGATTAACAAAGTTAAAATACAACTAACAGTGACTAACAGTGTGAGGGAAAATATTTGTAAATCATGCATTTGATGAAGGATTTATATCCAGAATATATAAAGAGCTCAAGAAACTCAACAACAACAAAATAATCCAGTTAATAAGTGAGCAAATAATATGAGTAGATATTTTCAAAAGAAGACATAGAAATGGCTAGCAGACACATGAAAAAATGCTCAGGATCACTAGCCATAAGGGAAATGCTAATAAAAATCACAATGAAGTATATCAAACTCTAGTTAGAAAGCTATTATCCAAAAAATTTTTAAAATTCAATTCTCACAAGATCATGGAGAAAAGTATCCTAATACAATTTTGGTGGGATTAAAATTAGTGAAATCATTATAGAAATCAGTACCAGATTCATCAAAAAACTAAAAATGGACCTAGCATATGACCCATACATCTCACTTCTGGGAACATATTCAAAGAAAATGAAATCAGTATATGAAAAAGATTCCTGCACTTCCATGTTTATAGCTGCCTAATTTACAATAGCAAAGATATGTTATCAACCTAGATATCCATCAACTGATGACTGGATAACGAAAATATGGTATGTATACCTGATTCAATATTACACAGCCATTAAAATGAATAAAATTCTGACATTTGCAACAAAGTAGAATTGGAGATCATCATGGTAAGTGAAATAATCCAGGCACAGATAGACTAACATTACATTTTTTTCTCATATGTGGAAATATATATATATATATATATATATATGAGAGAATATTTTTAAAAGATGGTTTATTTTTCAAAATACTCAAGAGAAGGAGCATTTCACACCACAGGGAGACATCTTAGGAAACACTGGGGTCAGTCAGGAGGAAGAGGATGAAACTATGGGCAAGAGCTTTTATAGGGTTTCCTAGGAGGAATGAGCATGGAAAAATAAGCAAGCTTATAACCAGCTCATTTGAATAATTTCAGTGGACTCTAGGTCATAGGGGCTATCCCTACTTGTGTGTTATCTCATCAGGGATGATTATGGCAGGTGGTTAGTGGCTAGAGCTGGGAGAGCCTGGTAAAGGAAGTGTCATCAGATTTGGATTGGTTGGTTTGTATTTGGGAAGCATGTTTACTGGCAAGTTGTTTACTATCTTTACTATTTTATTAATCCTAAGAAGAGGATTCCTTCTTTTTTTTTAAAGATTTATTTATTTATTTGAAAGAGTTACATAGAGATAGAAGGAGAGGCAGAAAGAGAGAGAGAGGTCTTCCATTTGTTGGTTCACTCCCAACAAATTGGCTGCAACGGCCGGAGCTGCACTGATCTGAAGCCAGGAGCTAGGAGCTTCTTTTGGGTCTCCCATGTGGGTGTAGGGGCCCAAGGATTTGGGCTATCTTCTACTGCTTTCCCAGGCCATAGCAGAGAGCTGGATTGGAAGTGGAGCAACTGGGTCTTGAACCAGCGCCCATATGGGATGCGAGCACTGCAGACAGCAACTTTACCTGCTATGCCACAGCGCTGGTCCCAATATAGTAAGTCTTAAAATAATTAAAATGTTGTTTATTAAGTGTGAAACATATGTCAATAATTATGCAATGTGATGTGTTTGTTGCCTTTTACAGTACTTTAAAAAACTCCTATAAGATAGCACATTTTTCCAATCAAAAGTGACACTTGAGGTGCAACAACAGAATCTATGGGAGACTAACTTTGCACAGCTGTATGCACTGGCTTTTCCCATTGAGTTTATCCCACCCAAGTCACAGTTCCTTGCATCTATCATCTATCATCTATCTATCATCAACCTATCATCTTTCTACATATTGATCTATCTAAAATGAATGGTTAAGGCTTTTTGTAATGAAAATATATTTTTCTCCCAAAGTAATTAGGTTACATTTCAATATATTTATTTATTTTTTTCAACTTTCGTACTTTGTCTTTTATTAGCAATATCTTGAAGTGTTTTCCCTATGTTTTTTTCTAGTAATATCAATTCAGACTTTACATTTAGATTTTGATCCATTGAAAATTGATTTTTCTACATGGTGAGAGGTAGGTTTCTAATAACAATTTTCTATGTATGTTTTGTTAGCATCATTCATTGAAGAGATTCCTTTCCTCAATGTATATTTGTGGCACCTCCGTCACAAATCAATTGACTCTATGTACATGGTTTAATTTCTATGTTCTCTATTCTATCGCATTGATTTATGTGTTGTTTTTTTTTTTGTTTTGTTTGTTTGTTTGTTTGTTTTTTATTTAATGAGCATAAATTTCCAAAGTACAGCTTAAGGACCACAATAGCCTCCTCCCCCCCGTATCTTCCCTCCCACCCACAACGCTCCCCTCTCCCACTCCCTCTCCCCTTTCCCTTCACATCATGATTAATTTTCAATTATCTTTATATACAGAAGATCAATTTAGTGTATGTTAAGTAAAGATTTCCACATTTTGCTCCCACACTGAAACACAAAGTGTAAAATACTATTTGAGTACTAGTTATAGCATTAATTAAACACCTAAGAGTAATTGTGTATTAATTACAGAGTTCAACCAATAGTTTTAAGTAGAATATAAAATGCAACTTTTGTATTGTTGTGGCTTCCCCCCTCCCTCCCTCCCTCCCATGGCCCTCCCCTCACCCACTCCCTCTCCCATCCCGCCCTTCATCACGTTTCATTTTCAATTACCTTCATATGTTGAAGATCAACTTAGTATATACTAAGCAGGGATTTCAAGAGGTTGCACTCACACAACCGAACCAGGTATAGGGTATTGTTCGACTAGTAGTGTTGTTTTTGAGTTTCATAGTTAAACATATTAAGGACAGAGATCCTGTGTGGGGAGCATGAACCCAGTGATTCCCGTTGTTGATTTAACAATTGGCACTCTTATTTATGATGTCAGCAATCACCCGAGACTCTTGCTATGTGCTGTCTAGGCTATGGAAGCCCCTTGAGTTCAGAACTCTGAATTTGTTTAGTCAAGGCCATATCACAGTGGAGGTTCCTTCCTCCCTTCAGAGAAAGGCGCCTCTCTCCTTGATGGCCTGATCCTTCTGCTGGGGTGTTGTTCACCAGGATCCTTCATTTAGATTGTTTTTTGCCACCGTGTCATGGCTTTCCATGCCTGTGAGACTCTCATGGACCTTTTAGTCAGATACGAATGTCCCAAGGGTTGATTCTGAGGCAGGAGTGCTGTTTTGGGAATTTGCCATTCTATGAGTCTGCTGTGTGTTCTGCTTCCCCCGCAGAATCATTCTCTCCCTTTTGATTCTATCTTTCATTATTTGCTTACACTGGTCTTATTTGTGTAATATCTTTGCCACTTACCCTATCTTTTTGACCAGTTGTGTATTTATATTTGTCACTTTACCAAGTGTGCTGGCAATGGTACTTGCCTCCTTGGTAAGGTTGAGTTGAAATCCCCTGGCACATTTCCAGTTCCACCATTGGAGGTAGGTCTGAGTGAGTATGTGCCGTCCTATATATCTCCTCCCTCTCTTATTCCCACTCCCATGTTCCACAGAGATCAATTTTCTGTTAATTTTTAAATGCTTAAGAATGGTTGTGCATTGATTGCAGAGTTCAGCCAGTGGTCTTGTGTAGAGCAAATCGAGCAACAACAACAACAACAACAAAAATACTAAAGGAACAAAATAGTAAGTTGTTCCTCAATAGTCTAGCCAAGGGCTGCTCATGTCATTGTCAGAAGAGGATTCCTCCTAAAATCAGTAAGGCCCCAGATGTCAAGGTATCAAAATACAGAAAATGAAAAGCTAATACTATACATTCTAGTGTTGATAATACTCTAGTTTTAATAGTTTTAATAATACTCTCTTGTTGATCAACCATGCCATTTTACATATGAACCATATTTAGTCCTGATGTATAGATACAGTTAAACACAGAGGTTCACTCAATGAACCACAATGGATACAAAATTTAATTTAACCTAGTTCCTGTCTGCTCTTGAGGTAGGTATGAATTTAATAATCACTTAATATAAGTCAGTTGATCTTTTTTTCTTTCCCCAATTAACTACTAATATATAATTAATAATAATAATTAGTAATCCTAACATTAAATACAAATAAAAAATTGAGGGACCAGTGCGTGTAGTGGGTAAAGCCACCACCTGCAGTGCTGGCATCCCACATGAGTGCAGGTTCGAGTCCCAGCTGCTTCACTTCCAATCCAGCTCCCTGCTAATGTGCCTGAGAAAGCAGAGGAAGATGGCCCAAGTCCTTCGGCCCACGCCTGACTCCTGGCTTCTGATCTGCAGTACTCAAGCTGTAGCAGCCATCTGGGGAGTGAACCAGCCAATGGAAAATGGAATACCTCTCTCTCTGCCTCTTACTCTCCCTCTGCCTCCCTGGAACTTTGCCTTTCAAATAAAAATAAATAAATCTTTTTAAAAAATTGATCACTTAAGATGGATTGTTTCAAAGAATGGCCTTAAAATAGAAAGATAATACTTAAGTGAAGTATCTCCTTATCTTTAGCTTTGATAAGTTTTAAATATTAAACTTCAGTAAGATCTAGTCAAATATTTCCTAGAAAATTTTTACCAGACAGGGTTTAGAAATAAATGGCATAAGAAATAAAAAGAGTTGATTTTCCAAATAATTTTGCAATTACTAGGTAGCTTGCATACACAGGAACTTAAGCTTCTTTTTTTATTTGAGAAAATATTTTCAAGCATATAGAGTTATATATTTCAAAATCCCAATAGTTCCTCACACATCTCCAATCCATATCAACAACTTTTTTGGTATTCATATCATACCAGAAACAGGACAATGTTGCTACTTCTTGATGTCTTAATTTCAGGCATTATCTATGAACTTCCAATGAGGGGAGATAATTACTTAATAGTCTTTAACTTTCCCATCCTCAAATTACCACATATAATTCATTTTTCAGCCTTTACATAATATCCAAAATGTTACATTTTTTTATTGGATGAATAAAAACATTTACATTATTATAACTATGTAAAATTTTATTTACAACTGAGTTACATGGTTTACTATAATTAGTTTCTTGGGAAAATTTTTTTCTCTGAAGTTAATAACTGATATTTTTCTTTACTTATTTTCTATGTACTCATAATTAACTTAGTTCCCAACTACCCCTTTACTATACAAATTGTTTCTACATACACTCAGATGTCAGAATTTTTAAAACATCCTTCCACTGTCTTCTAGCTTTTTAAAAAGATTTAAATTATAAAAGTTCCATGCATTTCATAAATACAGATTGAGAAACAGTGATGCTTCCCACCCCCTCTTTCCTCCTGCCCTCACCCTAACCCTTCTTCCTTCTCCCTCTCCTATTCCCACTCTTAATTTTTAGAAGAATCTATTTTCAGTTTACTTAATGATCGTAATATGTCTTTTTACATTAAGAGTTGCTGATAAGAGGGATGATACTATCTTTCTTGTGCTGTCTGTTCTCTAGAAGCTTGTAGCATGTTCTGTCTAAGGATTGTGAGAATTTAAAATAATGCACACATATTTTAATCCCTTGTCCTAAACACTAGATAATCCCCTTCAAACTGGAAACAAAACTCTTCTCAGAAGTTATAAAGTTTTTGATTATTTCTGTCCATACCTTTTCTGTTTTCTCTTTTTGGAGACTGAAAAAAATGAAATGGCTGAAAGATCAGTTTCTCCCATCAGGGATGGGTGCCTAGACCACTGATCTTCAATTTATATTTCTTTAAACAATTGCATTAAGGACCACAAAATACTCTAAGAATTATTTTAATTGTTATATATATATATATATAAAAATTTATACACAGTACTTTTTTCTTGTCAGCTCAAAACCATTTTTAAAAATTTCCATTATTAGCCGGCGCCGTGGCTCAATAGGCTAATCCTCCACCTTGCGGCGCCGGCACACCGGGTTCTAGTCCCGGTTGGGGCGCCGGATTCTGTCCCGGTTGCCCCTCTTCCAGGCCAGCTCTCTGCTATGGCCAGGGAGTGCAGTGGAGGATGGCCCAGGTGCTTGGGCCCTGCACCCCATGGGAGACCAGGAAAAGCACCTGGCTCCTGGCTCCTGCCAGGATCAGCGCGGTGCGCCGGCTGCAGCGGCGGCCATTGGAGGGTGAACCAACGGCAAAAGGAAGACCTTTCTCTCTCTGTCTCTCTCTCTCACTCTCTCTCACTGTCACTCTGAAAAACAAAACAAAAAATTTCCATTATTATTTATTCTTTGATCATTGAGTTATTTAGGCACTTTATTTTTCACACACATGAAACAATTCTCTCTACTTTTCTGGATCATAGTTCCTAACATATCATTGCATTCAATGAATCAACACGCTTTGTGTGATTTAAACTCTTTAAAAAGTTGCAATATTTGATTTTGGGCAAAATATATGGAGAATTTTATGAACATTATGTGTTTGAAAGTAATGTGTATTGTTCAATTGCAGTATTCTATATGTAAATGTTGTTTCACCCTTTTTAACCATGTTGTATAAATCCTTTATGTTTTGTTTTTTATTTGTGTTTTGCTTGTTTATTCTATCAATTACTATGACAGTTGTCTATTTATTCCTGAATTAGTACAGTCATGCCAATAATTTGAAATTTTACTTTTAGATTCACATACATTCTTTGGTAAATTTCCTTTTCAAATGTTTTGCCTATTTTCCTTTTCAAATGTTTTGCCTATTTTAAAGTTGAGAAGTTTGATTTTTTTCACTGAATTTTGAGTTCTTTATATATCCAGATAAAATGTTTTATCATAGATGATAAGTCAGTTTCTTTGAGGTTGCAGCTTATCTTTTCATTTTATTAACAATGTCTTCTGAGTAGTGCAAGAACTTAATTTTGATGAAGTAAAATCTATCAAGACTTCTCTTTTTCATGTTCTATTTAAGAATCTATGCTTAACGTAAACTTACACAAACTGTCTTTCTATGCTTTCTTCTAGAAGTTTTACAGTTTTAGATTTTACACTTAGATCCATAATCCATTTCAGTTAATTTTTGCATAGTGTAAGGTTTAAATAATTGCTTATACTTAAACATATGATAACCAGTTATTCAGACAATTTATTAAAAAGTATTTTTTTACATTTTGAAAAATCTCAGACATTAACTCCTCAAATATTTTTTCTATCCACTCTTTTCTCTCTTCTCTAGAGATTTTCAATTATACTTTTAGATGTTTGTCTGTATTTTAAATTCTTTTTCATTTTGGGTTATTTCTACTCGTCTATCATCAAATTAGTAGATTCTTTCTTTGGCTGTGCCAAGTCTTCATGATAAGTACCTCAAAGCTGTTCTTCATCTCTGTTAATGTGTTTTCCATTTCAAATATTTGCATTTGATTCTTAAAGTTTACACCTCTGCTGAAATAACAACATCTGATCATGCATGTTACCTACCTTTTCTACTAGAGCCTTTAACATATTTTTTTTTTGGACAGGCAGAGTTAGACAGTGAGAGAGAGAGACAGAGAGAAAGGTCTTCCTTTTCCATGGGTTCACCCCCCAAATGGCTGCCACGGCCAGAGCGCTGCGTCGATCCGAAGCCAAAAGCCAGGTTCTTCCTCCTCGTCTCCCACGCGAGGGCAGGGCCCAAGCACTTGGGCCATCCTCCACTGCCTTCCTGGGCCACAGCAGAGAGCTGGACTGGCAGAGGAGCAACTGGGACAGAATCCGGCACCCCAACTGGGACTAGAACCTAGGGTGCCTGTGCCGTAGACAGAGGATTAGCCAAGTGAGCCACGGCACCGGCCAGAGCCTTTAACTATTAATCATAGGTTATTTCAGATTTCTTGACTGATATTTTACTGAGTCCTTTCTGAAACTTGTTGTGTTGATGGCTTCATCTCTTTTATTGCTTTCTTTTTTTGGTATGTTTTATACCTTTTGTTGAAAGTCAGATATATTATGTAGCATCATAAAGATGAAGTAAATAATTTTTATACCTGGAAATAAATTTTATTGATTCGTTTTGCTTGATGCTTAGTAGATGCACTTCTGTTCATCTAGTAAGGTATTGAACAGTATTTGGTTTTTGTTGTTGCTATGATTAACTTTGCTAATCCACAGGCATTAAATTCTTCTTAGGATGTTGTGATTTCATTTCTGTGGCAATTGATTTGTCTATAATAATAACACTGCTTAGAAAATTATTTGGGTTCTGAAGTTAATAACCCATTAAATTTTGTACAACAAACTTACTGGACAAAATGTAATATCATTATTATTTTAAAGGAGGCAGTAATATGGCATGTTTTATGAGATCAAGAACCACCTTTTCTGATGGAAGTAAACAAAATACTGAAACACCAAAGTTTTAGGAAAAAAATAAGAATCAATATTCAAAATGCATATATTCATACCTGACATCCAAAGAAATATGTTATTTCCTATATCTTCTTTAAATTTATCATTAAAGATCTTACTAGATTCTGGGAATGCTTCCTGGAATGTTACATAGATAGCTTGTGTCAAACAATCAGGATATATCTATCAAAAAAGAATCAGATTAATTTTAGATTTTATGTTAGATTTTATGTGTCCTATTACCAAAGATATTGTTTAGTTTCTGAAATATACTTTTCTTTTTTTTTAACTTTTATTTAATGAGTATAAATTTCCAAAGTACAGCTTATGGATTGCAATGGCTTGATACTTGAGTAAGAAACAGAAAAGCTACATAGATCACAATTCAGAACATTCAAGAAAGTAATCCTGATAGTCAATATTTGTGTAACACTTACATGTACCAAAATACTGATGTAGGTTCTTTTCATTCATCAGTACATTTCTTTTCTTTTTTTTCTATCATTTAGTTTCTTTTTTCTTTTTTTTAACTTTTATTTAATGAATATAAATTTCCAAAGTACAGCTTATGGATTACAATGCCTTCGCCCCCATCACGTCCCTCCCACCCACAACCCTCCTCTTTCCCACTCCCTCTCCCCTTCCATTCACATCAAGATTCATTTTCGATTCTCTTTATATACAGAAGATCAGTCTAGCATACATTAAGTACAGATTTCAACAGTTTGCTGCCACACAGAAACATAAAGTGAAAAATACTGTTTGAGTACTAGTTGTAGCATTAAATCTCAATGTACAGCACACTAAGGACAAAGATCCTACATGAGGAGTAAGTGCACAGTGACTCCTGTTGTTGACTTAACAAATTGACACTCTTGTTTATGGCATCAGTAATCACCCTAGGCTCTTGTCATGAGCTGCCAAGGCTATGGAAGCCCCCTGCGTTCACTGACTCTGATCATATTTAGACAAGGCCATAGTCAAAGTGGAAGTTCTCTCCTCCCTTCAGAGAAAGGTACCTCCTTCTTTGATGACCCGTTCTTTCCACTGGGATCACACTCACAGAGATCTTTCATTTAGTTTTTTTTTTTTTTTTCACCAGAGTGTCTTGGCTTTCCATGCCTGAAATAGTCTCATGGGCATTTCAGCCGGATCCACATGCCTTAAGGGCTGAGTCTGAGGCCAGATGCTGTTTAGGACATCTGCCATTCTATGGGTCTGCTATGTATCTCACTTCCCATGTTGGATCATTCTCTCCCTTTTTTATTCTAGAGGTTAGTATTTTTAGACACTAGTCTTGTTTATGTGAACCCTTTGACTCTTAGTCCTATCATTCTGATCAATTGTGAACAGAAATTGATCACTGGGACTAGTGAGATGGCATTGGTACATGCCACCTTGATGGGATTGAATTGGAATCCCCTGGTATGTTTCTAACTCTACCGTTTGAGGTAAGTCAGCTTGAGCATGTCCCAAATTTCACATCTCTTCCCTCTCCTATTCCCACTCTTACATTTAACAGGGATCACTTTTCAGTTAAGTTTCAGCACTTAAGAATAATTGTGTATTGATTACAGTATTCAACCAAAAGTATTAAGTAGAACAAACAAAAAAAATACTAAGAGGGATAACATATTAAGTTGTTCATCAACAGTCAGGGTGAGGGCTGATCAAGTCACCGTTTCTCACAGTGTTCATTTCACTTTAACAGGTTTCCTTTTTGGAGCTCAGTTAGTTGTCACCTATCAAGGAGAACAAGTGGTATTTGTCCCTTTGGGATTGGCTTATTTCACTCAGCATAATGTTTTCCAAATTCAAAACAGGGATCACTTTTCAGTTAAAATTTAAACACCTAGGAAGAATTGTGTGTTAATTACAGAGTTCAACCAACGGTACTAGAACAAAAAAAATACTAAAATGGATAAAGTATTACATTGTACATCAACCGTCAGGACAAGAGCTGATCAAGTCACTGTTTCTCATAGTGTCCATTTCACTTCAACAAGTTTCCCCTCTGGTGCTCAGTTAGTTGTCGCCGATCAGGGAGAACACATAATATTTGTCCCTTTGGGACTGGCTTATTTCACTCAGCATGATGTTTTCCAAATTCCTCCATCTTGTTGCAAATGACCAGGTTTCGTTGTTTTTGACTGCTGTATAGTATTCGATAGAGTACATGTCCCATAATTTCTTTATCCAGTCTACTGTTGATGGGCATTTGGGTTGGTTCCAGGTCTTAGCTATTGTGAATTGAGCTGCAATAAACATTAAGGTGCAGGCAGCTTTTCTGTTTGCCAATTTAATTTCCTTTGGGTAAATTCCAAGGAGTGGGATGGCTGGGTTGAATGGTAGGGTTATCTTCAGGTTTCTAAGGAATCTCCAAACTGACTTCCATAGTGGCTTTACCAGTTTGCATTCCCACCAACAGTGGGTTAGTGTCCCTTTTTGCCCACATCCTCTCCAGCATCTATTGTTGGTAGATTTCTGAATGTGAGCCATTCTAACCGGGTTGAGGTGAAACCTCATTGTGGTTTTGATTTGCATTTCCCTGATTGCTAGTGATCTTGAACATTTTTTCATGTGCCTGTTGGCCATTTGGATTTCCTCTTTTGAAAAGTGTCTATTAAGGTCCTTGGCCCATCTCTTAAGTGGGTTGTTTGTTTTTTTAGTTTTTGTGGAGTTTCTTGATTTCTTTGTAGATTCTGGTTATCAACCCTTTATCAGTTGCATAGATTGCAAATATTTTTTCCCATTCTGTTGGTTGCCTCTTCACTTTCCTGACTGTTTCTTTTAAAGTACAGAAACTTCTCAATTTGATGCAATCCCAAATGTTAATTTTGGCTTTGCCTGCTTGTGCTTCTGGGGTGTTTTCCAAGAAGTCTTTGCTGGTACCTATATCTTGCAGGGTTTTTCCAATGCTCTCTAATAACTTGATTGTGTCATGTCATAGATTTAAGTCTTAATCCATGTTGAGTGAATTTTTGTGTAAGATGAAAGGTAGGGGTCTTGCTTCATGATTCTGCACGTGGAAATCCAATTTTCCCAGCACCATTTATTGAATAGACTGTCCTTACTCCAGGGATTGGTTTTGGGTCCTTGATCAAATATGAGTTGGCTGTAGATGTTTGGGTTGATTTCTGGTGTTTCTATTCTGTTCCATTGGTCTATCCATCTGTTTCTGTACTAGTACCATGCTGTTTTGATTACAACTGCCCTGTAGTATGTCCTGAAATCTGGTATTGTGATGCCTCTGGCTTTTTTTTTTTGTTGTACAGGATTGCCATGGTCAAAGTGGAAGTTCTCTCCTCCCTTCAGAGAAAGGTACCTCCTTCTTTGATGACCCATTCTTTCCACTAGGATCTCACTCGCGGAGATCTTTCATTTAGTTTTTTTTTTTCCAGAATGTCTTGAATTTCCATTCCTGAAATACTCTCATGGGTGTTTCATCCAGATCCGCATGCCTTAAGGGCTGATTCTGGGGCCAGAGTGCAGTTTAGGACATCTGCCATTCTGAGTCTGCTGTGTATCGCACTTCCCATGTTGGATCGTTCTGTCCTTTTTAATTATATCAGCTAGTATTAGCAGACACCTAGTAACTTATTTTTAGAAAATGTTCATTTAATAAATATGGCAAGATATAGCCCAGGTACTAAGATGAAAAACTGCCAGCCCAGAATATTATATCTTGCAAAGCTATCATTTGTGAATGAAGGTGAAATAAAGACTTTTCATAGCAAACAGAAATTGAAAGAATTTGTCACCACTCATCCAGCCCTGCAAAAGATGCTTAAAGATGTGTTGCACACAGAAACACAGAAACATGGTCATCAATATGAAAGAAGGTAAATGAAGGAAACCTCACAGAAAAGATCACAGGGAATTCAAAGCATATATTAGAACTCATCTTTGGCAAATGGCAGGCAAAGTTACCACTTATCATTAGGCACATTGAACATTAATGGCCTGAACTGTCCAGTTAAAAGACACTGATTGGCTGATTCGCTTAAGGAATAAAACCCATCATTTTGCTGCTTACAAGAAACACATCTTTCCAACAAAGATCCATACAGACTGAAAGTGAAAGGCTGGAAAAAGATATACCATGCCAACAGAAATGAAAAAAGAGCGGGCGTATCCATCTTAATATCGGACAACGTAAACTTTACCACAAAAACTGTTAAGAGAGACAGAGGGACACTATATAATGATTAAGGGATCAATTCAACAGGAAGATATAACAATTATCAATGTATATGCACCTAACTATAGGGCACCGGTTTATTTAAAAGATTTGTTAAGGGACTTAAAGGGAGACTTAGACCCCAATACAATAGTACAGGGGGACTTCAATACTCCACTCTCAGAAATAGACAGATCAACAGGACAGAAGATCAACAAGGAGACAGTAGATTTAAACGACACTATAGCCCAAATGGATCTAACAGATATATACAGAACTTTCAATCCTACAGCTAAAGATTTTACATTCTTTTCAGCAGTACATGGAACCTTCTCTAGGATTGACCACATAATAGGCCATAAAGCAAGTCTCAGCAAATTCAAAAGAATTAGAATCATACCATGCAGCTTCTCAGACCATAAAGGAATGAAGTTGGAAATTAGCAACTCAGGAATCCCTAGAGCATACGCAAACACATGGAGATTGAACAACATGCTCCTGAATGAACAATGGGTCATAGAAGAAATTAAAAGAGAAATCAAAAATTTTCTGGAAGTAAATGAGGATAACAGCACAACATACCAAACCTTATGGGACGCAGCAAAAGCAGTGTTAAGAGGAAAGTTTATATCAATAGGTGCCTAGATCAAGAAATTGGAAAGGCACCAAATAGATGAGCTTTCAGTTCACCTCAAGGATATAGAAAAACTGCAGCAAACCAGACCCAACTCTAGTAGGAGAAGAGAAATAATTAAAATCAGAGAAGAAATCAACAGGATTGAATCAGTGGGTTGGAGGGACGTTATGGGGGGGAAGCCATTGTAATCCATATTCTGTACTTTGGAAATTTATATTCATTAAATAAAAGTAAAAAAAATTAAAAAAAATAATTAAAAAAATCAGCCGAACGAGGAGCTGGGTTTTTGAAAAAATAAACAAAATTGACACCCCATTGGCCCAACTAACTAAAAAAAGAAGAGAAAAGACCCAAATCAATAAAATCAGAGATGAAAAAGGAAACGTAACAACAGACTCCACAGAAATAAAAAGAATCATCAGGAATTACTACAAGGACTTGTATGCCAGCAAACAGGGAAACCTATCAGAAATGGATAGATTCCTGGACACATGCAATCTACCTAAATTGAACCAGGAAGACATAGAAAACCTAAACAGACCCATAACTGAGACAGAAATTGAAAGAGTAATTAAGGCCCTCCCAACAAAGAAAAGCCCAGGACCAGATGTATTCATTGCTGAATTCTACCAGACATTTAAAGAAGAACTGACTCCAATTCTTCTCAAACTATTCAGAACAATCGAAAAAGAGGGAGTCCTCCCAAATTCTTTCTATGAAGCCAGCATCACCTTAATTCCTAAGCCGGAAAAAGATGCAGCACTGAAAGAGAACTACAGACCAATATCCCTGATGAACATAGATGCAAAAATCCTCAATAAAATTCTCGCCCAATAGAATGCAACAACACATCAGAAAGATCATCCACCCAGACCAAGTGCAATTTATCCCTGGTATGCAGGGATGGTTTAATGTGCACAAATCAATCAATGTGATTCACCACATTAACAGACTGCAGAACAAAAACCATATGATTACCTCAATAAACGCCGAGAAAGCATTTGATAAAATACAACACCCTTTCATGATGAAAACTCTAAGCAAACTGGGTTTGGAAGGAACATTCCTCAATACATCAAAGCAATCTATGAAAAACCCACAGCCAACATCCTATTGAATGGGGAAATGTTGGAAGCATTTCCACTGAGATCTGGTACCAGACAGGGATGCCCACTCTCACCACTGCTATTCAATATAGTTCTGGAGGTTCTTGCCAGAGATATTAGGCAAGAAAAAGAAATTAAAGGGACACAAATTGGGAAGGAAGAACTCAAACTATCCCTCTTTGTAGATGATATGATTCTTTATTTAGGCGACCCAAAGAACTATACTAAGAGATTATTGGAACTCATAGAAGATTTTGGCAAAGTAGCAGGGTATAAAATCAATGCACAAAAATCAACAGCCTTTGTATACACAGGCAATGCCACGGCTGAGGAAGAACTTCTAAGATCAATCCCATTCACAATAGCTACAAAAACAATCAAATACCTTGGAATAAACTTAACCAAGGACGTTAAAGATCTCTACGATAGAATTACAAAATCTTAAAGAAAGAAATAGAAGATGATACCAAGAAATGGAAAAATCTTCCATGCTCATGGATTGGAAGAATCAATATCATCAAAATGTCCGTTCTCCCAAAAGCAATTTATAGATTCAATGCGATACCAATCAAGATACCGAAGACCTTCTTCTCAGATCTGGAAATATATTTTTCTTTTTTCCTACTACTTGCTTTTGGCCATGGTATTACTTTTCATACCCGTACCTTGCACTGTACACAAAAATCCACTCAAAATGGATCAAGGACCTAAATCTATGACTGATATCATCAAATTACTAGAGAAGAGTGGAGAAAATCTAAAACACAGTGGCATAGGCAAAGACTTCTTGGAAAAGACCTAAGAAGCACTGGCAATCAAAGCCAAAATTGACAAATGTAATTACCTCAAACTGAGAAGCTTCTGCTGCAAAAGTGACATTCAGCAAAGTGAAGAGGCAACCAACAGAATGGGAGAAAATATTTCAAACTATGCAACTGATAAAGGATTAATATCCAGAATCTATAGAGCAAATTAGTAAATACATTAATATCAAAACTACAAAAGACTAGCTTAAAGAATGTAGTAAAAACAGAACTTCTGTAATTTGTAGACAATTGTAAAATTTCTAATCATTAAACCACCTCCTGAAAGCAAGAAAAAAACTTCAATATTAACAGAGGAAAATTCCAGTTTCTCTTTCACAACACCACTGTTCCACAAAGTAAAAATCATGAGTCTAACAAACCTTTAATTTGATGTATAACCCAGTTATGGACCTGAGAGGTTGTGTGGCTTACCAAGACTACTCAGGTAATTAGTAGCAAATTCTGGACATGAAAACATATCTCTTTATTCTAAATCTACTTATTGGTTTCTCTCTACTACACTTTATATATGTGTTCATAAGATAGGTCAAGATTGAATGTAAATATTTGGGAAATTTGTGAGTGTATATTTATTTTCATTGTGAATGACACTTTTTATCTTATGTCTGTCTTACCCTGAAAATACAAAATCCAAAATACTTATTTATTTCTGATTTACTGATTGCCAAAGCAGCATATTTGAATATGGGTTGTGTTTTGAAATGCTAGAGTTTAAATTTATCAATATTCAATGAAATCTCTATTTTCTTAATTTCACATTACTGAAGAACATTATTTTAATCAACTCCATCCCCTAGCTGGTATAACAACAAAAAAGCAAAGCAAACATCGATTCATAATTTTATGCTTTGTATAAACACATGTTTGATCCTTAAATGTGACATAAACTTGTCCAGTCCTCTTAAACAGATACATTATGAGCTTAAAATAAGGAAAATGATAATTTTCTAGTAAATATAAAAAGCACAAGAACACCTATGTATATATATAATAAGTCAATATGTTTTAAATTATTACTTTTCAAACACAGTGTTGATACCACTGAAGACATTCTGAAGATTTTGAGGCAAGACTTGTATTTGGGATAGGAATGTGGTAACAGTGTAACTTTAAAATATTATCATCAGATATTCCACACTAAGCCAATTTTAGTTTCAAAAGTAACAGAATATATTCTCATATATATCTAAATGAAGTAGCTAGTTTTTCTATTTAATTCACTCAAAAAATAATTAGTATAACTGTTAATCTCTACTATTACCTGAAAGAAAGTATCCTTTCGACTTAGAGGTATGCTCACGAAAAGTATCACATAACTTTCTGAAATTCTATTAAATAAGTAATCTTGATTTTCTCTGTCAGGCTTAAGATATAAAACATGCATGAAATTATAGTCAGTATTACAGTTTAAAATTGGAATTTGCATAAAATCAGTGACTTTATTTCCTCTTAAAGGGCAGATCAATTGGTATACTGGAAGGAGTACAGGTTTTGGTATCATGCAGACCTGATTTTGAATACTGGTTCCATTATTCATTAGTTATATTACCCTTTCAGTTAATTAAGTCCTGTTTTCCTCATCTGTCAAAGATAGATAATATCCACACATCAAAGGCATGAAGTAAGATTAAATAAAGATAGAGATCATGTTTTACATAGCTGTGTATTTGAAGTCCTTAGATCAGTGCCTTGGACACAGAAATCACACAAACATTTGAGGTTGAAGGTTCTTTCACAGGTGTTATGCAGAAAGCCACCAATGAATTAGTTACCTTCCATTGTTCAGTGACAGTTTTTACTCTTTCATTATTAGTAACTCAGTGTGAAATTAAAGCAATTACTCAGATATATGAGCAAGCCAGAACTAGTAAGATTGTACATAATACTAAAACTGAAAATAGGGCCGGTGCCGCGGCTCACTAGGCTAATCCTCCGCCTAGCGGCGCCGGCACACCAGGTTCTAGTCCCGGTTGGGGCACCGGATTCTGTCCCAGTTGCCCCTCTTCCAGGCCAGCTCTCTGCTGTGGCCAGGGAGTGCAGTGGAGGATGGCCCAGGTGCTTGGGCCCTGCACCCCATGGGAGACCAGGAGAAGCACCTGGCTCCTGGCTCCTGCCATCGGATCAGCGCGGTGCGCCGGCTGCAGCGCGCCGGCCGCGGCGGCCATTGGAGGGTGAACCAACGGCAAAGGAAGACCTTTCTCTCTGTCTCTCTCTCTCACTGTCCACTCTGCCTGTCAAAACAAAACAAAACAAAACAAAACAAAACTGAAAATAATTATGTAAGAAGAAAGGACCCTATACACACACACACATATATATATAAATATATATATAATATTATTAATATAATAATGTAGCACTCTGAATCACTGCTTTAATGTGCAATGAAGGATGAATTAGAGTCGAAATCCATGAATTAAGCAAATATAAATTAAGAAGTTCAATTTTTTATGAGGTTAGTTATACAAACAGAAACTGGAATTGACAACTTTTGGTAACAAAAGCAAAAGATTATAACATTTTATAGTAGTATCTATGAAATTAGCAAATCAAAAAATGGATTTTTAGATACATAGGATCTTATACCTAAAATTAAGTTAGAAACTACTTAGCTTGTCTCTGTACTTCAATGGCTGCACTGACGCTCAGAAAATTTAAAGAATTATTACAGGAACCGGCACTGTGGTGTAGTGAGTGAAGCTGCTGCCTGCAGTGCCAGCATCCCAATGGGCACCAGTTCGGGTCCTGGCTGCTCCACTTCCAACCCAGCTCTCTGTTATGGCCTGGGAAAGCAGTAGAAGATGGCCTAAGTCCCTGGGCCCCTGCACTCACATGGGAGACCTGCAAGAAGCTCCAGGATCCTGGATTCAGATTAGCCCAGCTCTGGCTGCTGTGGTCATTTGGGGGGTGAACCAGCTGATGGAGACTTTTCTCTCTTCCTCTCTCTCTCTCTCTCTCTCTCTCTGCCTCTCTGTAATGCTGCCTTTCAAATAAATAAATAAATTATTAAATAAATTATTAAATAAATAAATAAATTATTAAAAATTATCTAGCTAACTAGGCAAAAGCCTCACTAGAACCAAGGTCTCCTACCTCCCAATACAAATCTCATACTTGTTTAATAACTTTATGGAAGGAGGTAATAGCAAAAATAACGATGATGTTAATAGAAGTTCATGATCATTTGGTAACAGTGATTCTGTGAGAATTAAATAAAATTCTATATATGACTTACTCAAGAAAGCATGTTTCAAGTACATAATCTACACTTAACATGTATGAAGAAGAAAAAAAAGTTACAAGATGAAAACTTCCAAAATATGTCTTTGATTAATGTAATTCAACCTGGTGTCCAGATCATATATGAGTATACCTTAAATGAAGTGATGAATTAGCAAAAAATAGGATTGTAAATGTTTTGTGTATGCTTCATAAAAAATGTAACTTGCAGCTAGAGAGAATATGAATTACTAATTAGGTCAAGCTATTTAATATACTTGTATGTTCAGTTATCATTGAATTCCAGCAATAAGTCTCATTGGTTATGGTTTATAATCCTTTCTGGATTTGCTTTGTTAATATTTTGTTTTTAGATATTTTCATCAATATTCATCATAAGAGGTTTTGTTTTTCTTGTAGTGTCTTTTCTTTTAGTATCAAATAATACTAACTCCTATTTAATTTTGTGGGAAGATTCTGAAAAGGATTAGTGTTCATTCTTCTAAAATTATTGGTAGAATTCTATGTTGGGATGTTTTTGATTACTGATTCAAAATCTTTAATAGTTACAGTATATTTTGATTACTGATTTGTGATTCAACCTTGTCAGGTAGCATACTTCCAGGAATTTGTCCATTTAATCTATGTGACCAAATCTGTTCACATAGTACTCTTTTAGAATCCTTTTGATTTCTGCAAAATTGACAGTACTACATTTTTTTCAGAATTTTTTTAAACTTTTATTTAATTAATATAAATTTCCAAAGTAGAGTTTTTTTTTTTACAATGGCTTTGCCCCCGCCCATAAATTCCCACCCA